CGTCCCTGTCATTTCCCTGTCGTGTTCCCAGCATTGCTGAAATCCTTAATATACATTCCAAAGTAAACCAGCCATTCCAAATCTACAGTCACTCTGCTCTTTAATTCAATTCACAGAACTGCTGAAAAAGTAGACATTTCTATCTAAAAGTAGAAAAAAAGGTTTGTATAGAAGGTATTTCTGTTATACAAGTATGTTACACAGCTTGGGGCAGTAACAGGTCCAAAAAGCTCTTCTCAACCACTGACACCTTAAGCCTGGGAGGGAAGAGGTCTACCACGTGGGATCTGGTTCTTGCTTGATCTGAGAGTTTCCGGTCAGTCTCCTTAATTTCTTCCGTTGCTGGTACTTCCAACTGGCTTGGCTCAGCTGATTCTTGGATCACAGGGCCTTCTGACTCGTTCTGATCAGCCAACTGGTTATTAATCACGAGTCCGGGAAATGGTCTAATGACTGTGAACTTGATGAACTCAGCAGAATCTAAGATCCTCCTCATGGAGCTTATCTCCAGGTAGCTGGGGGCTTTGAAGGACACCCTGGGGGGCATGCCATCCACCACCACGCACCCAGGGTTGATGATGATCTTCCTGTAGGGCACCTTCACAGGGAAGCCCATGCCGATAGCTTCGCCGAATCTCCGACTGAAGAGGTCGTTCACTTGCTCGCGCAGCTGTCTTGCTTTCTCAACTTTTGACAGTCTCTCATTGTCATCATCTGGAATTTTCACTTGAATGATGTTCAGATCCTCCACACCTGACGCAGTTGTGTTAACATTGGGTGACGAATTTATTTTTCTGGGCRGGCTCTTGGAGGAGGAGGTACTCTCCTTGATMGCCGTCTCAAACATCTCTGGTTTCTTAATGATGAATTTGATCTTGGCCTTGTTGCGCAGTATCTTCTCCAGCCTCGGAATGCCAAAGGTAGAGGGCTTTCGGAAGGGCACGCCCTCGGGTAGGCTTTCCACATAGAAGTCCTCCGGGAAAGACTCGAACAATGCAAACGGCACCTTCACCGCCTGCTTAAGGCCAAGAGCTTCACCGCATTTTTCATTGAAAAGATTCTCGACTTTCTGCTTCAGGTCCGTGATCTTGGCGTTCCAGGCCTCAAAGGAAAACTCTCTCCCACGAGGCTTCAAGGAAACGTTGGAGCCATTAGTCTGGGTGGCAGTTCGAACAGCGGAGGTCTGAGGGTTATTGTTGTTAGAGCCTTCCACCATGACCTCAATTTCAGGAATCTTTGAGTTACTCCCAGGCTCCGTGGTCTTTTGGGGGACTGCAATGCTTTAGTGTTTACTTTGCCGGCCATTCCAGGAGGCAGGTAGGAAACGACCAGCTCAGGTTTTTTAACAACAAACTTAATTTTATTGCTCCCATGGACAATCCTTTCAAGTCGAGGAATTCCAAACCAGGTGGGGCTTCGGAAGGGAATTCCTTCTGGCAAACCCTCCACATAGAGGAACTCCGGGTTGGATTCGAACACAGGGTATGGTACTTTCACTGCCTCTGTAAGTCCAAGAGCTTGAGCAAATTTCAAATTAAAAATTTCTTCTACTTCCGTAGCTTGGTAATTCTAACATTCCAATCTTCTTTGACTGGAGTGTTGGTTCTTGGCTGAGTGACTTCAGTTGTACTATGAATCAGCAGTTCTGGTCTTTTAATAACAAATTTTATCCAATTGCCCACTTGAATGATTTTCTCCAGCCTTGGGATTCCATACCAAGAGGGACTTCTAAAAGGAATGTTTTCTGGTAGCCCTTCCACATAGAGGTCATTAGGATGCGCCTCAAATTTTTGGTATGGTATAGCCTTGGCTTCAGTGCTCCCCAAGGCCTCAGCAAACTTTTTGCAGAAAAGTTGATCTACCATCTTTCTTAGCTTAGTGATTCTGGCATACCACTCTTCTTTGACTCCGGACGCGGGTTTGTCGAGCTGCAGGTCTTCCCGTGTGGAGTTCAGGAGCTCGTGTTTCTTGATCACAAAACGAATCCTTTCCTTTGCAAGCAATATCCTCTCGAGTCGAGGAATTACATACGTAGACGGCCTTCTAAAAGGAATTCCTTTGGGAAGTCCCTCTACATAAAGATCTTCAACATGAGACTGGAAAAGAGGGTATGGGATCGTCACCGGACCTTTGGCTTTTATTGCTTGAGCGTATTTTCTTTCAAACAACTCTTCAACTTGTTTACGTAGATCAGTAATTTGCGCATTCCATTTCTCGAAGTTGAACTCCCTCACTTTCCACCTCCCGGCATTTGCAGGCTCTCCGACAGGCGGCTGTGGAGGCTCGTTGCTCTTTGGTCTCTTGGTGGGTGGAGAGTAATCATCATCTTCAATAGTCACCTCAACTTCAGGGTCCTCACTTGTTTCTGAAGGGACATGTTGAGTAGAATCTTCTGCAGGCACCTCCATTTCTGTTCCCTCGTTGCCTTCGGAAGAGTGATGGCTTCCTTGGACGTTGTACTGATAGTAGTCAGGGTCTTCTGACTCCTCCTTGACCGTCACAGCTGCCATTTCCAGAGAAATGCCAGAATCTTCTGTGGGCTCCGTTTTCACTTTGATGGGGCCACAACTTCCACCTGGAGACAACAGGGATCTTTCAGCATCTGTTACCATCACACGACCACCCAGGTGTTTCCTTGGCTCTAGGAAGGGTCTCTTGATGATAAAGGAAATCCCTGCTTTTTTCTCCAAAATCCATTTCAGGGTTGCAAGGTCATAATTTTCAGGGTGTTTGAAGGCGACTCCCTCTGGAAGGCCCTGCACTACCACAGCCGACTGGTCTCTAAGCATCTTCTCATACGGGACAGGCACCACGTGGATTTGCCTAAGGCTTTCCCATAGCAAAAGCAGAAATAGTCCTCAACTGTTTTCCTGAGCGTCTAGATCTCTACGGTGTCCACACTCATCTGGCTGGCCTGAGGTGTGGACTTCATCTTATGCATCTCGGCTGCCTTTTCTTCTTCTTCAACACAGTATTTTACAAAATCTTTCTGGAAATCCTTTCTGGAGTTGACGAAAGCATGACCCCTCTCCACTCCGACCACAAACACGTCTGACTCCTATACCGCGATGCAGGCCACTTCCGCCTTGGATTTGGCCAGTTCCTTACACATGGACTCGAGAGCAGACATGAGGAAGGTCACCACCATCCTGCTCTCCGAAGACTCCTTATCTTCAATGGGCAGGGTAGACATCGCTACCTGGGCCATGATCCCCTTCTTCTGCCTGCTCTCATCATAGCGGGAGACTGACTTTGGGTGGCATCCTCTATCCTTAACTAACTTTTCCCCCTCTACAGGGAATAGGCCAGCAGCTTGCTCCTGGGCAGACACAGTCGGAACCTGTTCCTGAACCTGTGCAGCCAGCCCTTGCTAGCCGTGAACGGCCTCCTGGCCTCCTCTTCAGCCTGCCGTGGCGCCTCTCGGGGGACACCTGGCTCAGGTCCTGGTACAGGCTCAGCGCCTTCTGGCTCAGGGCGCTGCCGTCCACAGCCACGCGCTGGCTGCTCATGTCCTCCACCCACAGGCTCAGCGCCTTCTCCATCTTCACCAAGCACTTGTCCCCCACGGTGGCCCTGACCTTGGCGTTCTGGGGGGCCACGGTGAAGCTGGCCCGGATCTCCTTCTCCTTCTTCACGATTTCCCGGATGGAGGATTCGTTCTTACCGAAGATCTTGGCCACCTCCAGGTAGGACTTCTGCTCCTTCCTGACCAAGTCGAGAACCTTCACCTTTTCGCTCAGCGGCAGCACTTTTCGGCTCCTCTTGGGTGCTTCCTCATTGCCAGCCTGGGTGCTCTTGAGCTTGGGCAGCATCGTTAAAAGTGAAGGAGAATTACTGGAACACAAGGCCAGCGACACCTGGGTGACACTGGACAGGGGCCCAGGTGGTGGCACCGCCCCAGGTGGGCCAGGGCTGCCTCCCAACACCCACCGCTGCACCAGAGGCCGGACTTAACAACGGACTCCTTCTGAAATCTTCCATTTAACGAGTCCGGGCCATGGCTGGCCGCGGGTCCCTGGGACTTGGGGCAGGACGGCGCCCTCAGTCCCAGCGCTGCCTGTCCCGGTTATTCAATTGCCTCCGTTTTTCCATTACCCATTATTTTTTACTCCATGTTTTCTTTCCCTGCTTTGATTGTAATTCTCCTTTATGAGTTTTAAAGATGAGCCTGGTTGGCCTGCAGGCGCGCCATTCTTCATCTTCTGCTGGTTCTTCTGCTGGTGGCTAGTGTTTAATAGATGTGGTGACTTGTTCTATCTCTGAAACAGACTCCGGCCATTCTCCAAGACCTTCCTGGGTTTCTCGTTGGAGATCCATTCCAGGGATTAGGTTTATGGTGTCCTTGTTGATCTGATCCGAGTGCAGCCGCCTCCGGGCACCGCGGGGCGGAGTATGAAGGGCGCTAGTGGGGGCCGCGCGCTGAGGCCACCGCGGAGCAGCCTCGGCTGAGGGAGCTGTGAGCGGGAGAGAGGTGAGGGCGAGGGGCCAGTGCGTCTCCTGTCACCACCGCGCTCCTGTCACCACCGCGCTCCTGTCACCACCGCATGGCCGCCCAGGCAGGGCCTCACTCAGCACCTTGTTCCGCTCTCCGGGGACAGAGGGGAAAGGCCGGGGTAACTGCTGCAGGAGGGCGGCCCGGCTGGAGAGCGCGTGCGGGGAAGCGGGGGGGGGGCGACCGGGTGGCCCCTTTTCTCTGCTCTCCGAGCTTCTCTCTCACCCTCCTCCTCCTCCTCTTTTTTTTTTTTTTTTACTTTTGTGTACTTGTTACTGACAGCACAGTCCTTGTCCCTGATGCCAATTCATGCCAACTTAATAATAAAGACATGGTTTTGAGAAAAAGGAAAAAGGTTTATTGATTTGCTAGCAAATGAGAAGCACAGGCAACTCTAGTCCCAGAAGCTGTGCTTCTTCCATTTAATTGTATTAGTACTGGAAGGCACCCTTATATCCTGTCTGTTCTACAGGTGATGGCATATTATTCAAATTAACTCGGGTTGTTTTATTAGGAGTACTACAAAACAGTAATAGGGAACAATTATAAAGATTACGAGGAATATACAAAATGAAATTAACAATAGCAAAATATCTTTAGTTTGTATAATAGCTATGAACCAAGAAACATAATGTTCATAATCCCAAACCTTATTTAAATGTGTCATATCCCATGTTTATTTAGAGATCATTGTAATCTTTTTTTAAAATTTTTTTAACATTTATTTTTTAGTTGTAGTTGGACACAATACCTTTATTTATTTTATTTATTGATTTTTATGTGTGCTGAGGATTGAACCCAGGGCCTTGCACGTCTCTACAGCTGAGCCAAAACCCCAGCCCCAAGATCACTGTAATCTTTACAACAAAAATGTATCCTTTGGATATAACTTTATTTTTTTTTAATTTTTTATTCTGATTTGTTATATATGACAGCAGAATGTATTAAAATTCATATTACACATATAGAACACAATTTTTCATATCTCTGTTTGTACACAAAGTATATTCACACCATTCATGTCTTTATACATGTACTTAGGATAATGATGTCCATCTCATTCCATTCATCTTCTTTTTATACCCCTTGTCCCCTCCCTTTTCCTCCTTCCCCTTTACCCTATCTAGAGTTTGTCTAATCTTCCCATAATCCCCCTGCCAAGCCCACTATGAATCAGCCTCCATATATCAGAGAAAACATTGGGCATTTGGTTTTTGGGGATTGGTTAATTTCACTTAGCATTATGTTCTCCATCTCCATCCATTTACCTGCAAATGCTATGATTTTATTCTTTTTTATTTCTGAGTTATATTCCATTGTGTATATATAACTCATTTTCTTTATCCATTCATCTATTGAAGAGCATCTAGGTTGGTTCCACAGTTTAGCTATTGTGAATTGTGCTGCAATAAATATTAATGTGGCTATATCCCTGTAGTATCCTGTTTTTAAGGSCTTTGGGTATAGACTAAGGAGTGAGATAGCTGGGGCAAATGGTGGTTCCATTCCAAGTTTTCCAAGGAATCTCCCTACTGCTTTCCATATTGGCTGCACCAATTTGCAGTCCCACCAGCAATATATGAGTGTGCCTTTTTCCCCACATCCTGGCCAACACTTATTGTTACTTGTATTCTCAATAGCTGCCATTCTGACTGGAGTGAGATGAAATCTTAGAGTAGTTTTAATTTGCATTTCTCTAATAGCTAGAGATGTTGAACATTTTTTCATATATTTGTTGATTGATTGTATATCATCTTATGAGAAGTGTCTGTTCAGGTCCTTGGCTCATTTATTGATTGGGTTATTTGTTTTTTGTTTGTTTGTTTGTTTTGGTGTTTAGCTTTTTGAGTTCTTTATATATCCTAGAGATTAGTCTTCTATCTGATGTGCAAGTGGTAAAAATTTGCTCCCAAATTGTAGGCTCTCTATTCACCGCACTGATTATTTCTTTTGCCGAGAAGAAGCTTTTTAGTTTGAATCCATCCCATTTATTGATTCTTGGTTTTATTCTTGCGCTATAGGAGTGTTATTATGGAAGTAGGGGCTTAATCCGATATGATGGATGTTTGGGCCTACTTTTTCTTCTATGAGGTGCAGGGTCTCTTGTTTAATCCCTAGGTTCTTGATCCACTTTGAGTTGAGTTTTGTGCATGGTGAAAGATAGAGGTTTAATTTCATTTTGTTACATGTGGATTTCCAGTTTTCCCAGCACCATTTGTTGAAGAGGCTATCTTTTCTCCAATGTACGTTTTTGGTGCCTTTGTCTAATATAAAATAACTGTAATTATATGGGTTAGTCTCTGCGTCCCCTATTCTGTACCATTGGTCTACAGGTCTATTTTGGTGCCAATACCATGATGTTTTTGTTACAATTGCTCTGTAGTATAGTTTAAAGTCTGGAATAGTAATTCCACCTGCTTCACTCTTCTTGCTAAGGATTGCTTTAGCTATTCTGGGTCTCTTATGTTTCTAGATGAATTCCATGACTGCTTTTTGTATTTCTATAAGGAATTTCATTGGAATTTTGATTGGAATTGCATTAAATCTGTATAATGCTTTTGGTAGTGTGGTCATTTTCACTATTAATTCTGCTTATCCAAGAACAAGGTAGATCTTTCCATCTTCTAAGGTTTTCTTTAATTTCTTTCTTTAGCATGCTATAGTTTTCATTGTAGAGGTCTTTCGCCTCTTTTGTTAGGTTGATTCCCAAGTATTTTATTTTATTTTTTTGAGGCTATTGTAAATGGGGTAGTTTTCCTCGTTTCYCTTTCAAAGGATTTGTCACTGATATGCACAAATGCCTTTGATTTATGGGTGTTGATTTTGTATCCTGCTATTTTGCTGAATTCATTGGCTAATTCTAGAAGTTTTCTGGTGGAATGTTTTGGGTCTTCTAAGTATAGAATTATATTGTTGGAAAATAGTGCTAATTTGAATTCTTCTTTTCTATCTGTATCCCTTTAATTTCTTTTGTCTGTCTAATTGCTGTGGCCAGTGTTTCAAGAACTATGTTAAATAGAAATGGTGAAAGAGGGCATCCCTGTCTTGTTCCAGTTTTTAGAGGGAAAGCTTTCAATTTTTCTCCATTTAGAATGATGTTGGCCTGGGCTTCACATAGACAGCTTTTACAATGTTGAGATATTTTCCTGTTATCCCTGGTTTTTCTAGTGTTTTGAACATGAAGGGATGCTATATTTTGTCAAATGCTTTTTTTTTTTTTGCATCTATTGAGATGATCATATGGTTCTCATCTTTAAGTCTATTGATGTGATGAATTACATTTATTGATTTCCATATGTTGAACCAACCTTGCATCTCTGGGATGAACCCCACCTGATCATAGTACACTATCTTTCTGATATGTTTTTATTCGTGATTTGCCAGAATTTTTTTTGAGAATTTTTACATCTATGTTCATTAGAGATATTGGTCTGAAGCTTCCTTTCTTTCATGTGTCTTTGACTGGTTTTAGAATCAGGGTAACATTGGCCTCATAGAATGAGTTTGGAAGTGCTCACTCTTTTTCTATTTCCTGAAACAAAATTAAGAGTATTGGTATTAGTTCTTCTTTAAAGGTCTTGGAGAACTCTTCTGTGTATCCATCTGGTCCTGGGCTTTTCTTGGTTGGTAGGCTTCTGATGGCATCTTCTATTTCATCACTTGAAATTGATCTGTTTAAATTGTGTATATCATCTTGATTCAATTTTGTAAATCATACATCTCTAGAAACTCGTGAATGCCTTTGATTTTTTCTGTTTTATTGGAGTA